CTATTTTGTTTATATGCTGATTGATGATTTACCAATTGATCATCATGTGTTTTGTGGAACAAACTTTGCAGAAAAATTTGTACCGAGTAGCAGTAGATTCATAGAAACTACACGTCAGGAGCTTGGAAGAAGATGAAGACAAGGAGGTGTGAAGATTGGGCGTAGGAAAGGAATATTATGGGCAAGGAAGGCAGTAACGATAGCAATAGAGAAATGGACGGACCCCTTCCTTTGAAGCTTCTCTTGGAAGTGCCTTCAACTCCACGGGTGTTGATTAGGCCCTCCGGTTATCCATCTATATAGGTCCTTCTCGCTCTCAGCTTCTTTTCTTCCTTTAATTCGGCTCCAAATCTACCTCCCCTAATTGTTTGTTCTTCTCCTGGTACTTTTGTCTCTTTGTGGAGGTGCAGCAGCCATGGTGGATGTCTCGGTGCTCAACGACGTGGATGACTGCATCGACTTGCCTCCTGGGTTCAGATTCCACCCCACGGATGAAGAGATCATAACTCACTACCTCACACCAAAGGTCACTGACCTTGGCTTCACCGCTAAAGCTATGGGAGATGTGGACTTGAACAAGTGCGAGCCATGGGATCTTCCAGGTGAGTTGCATGTCTTCTCTTTGGCTTCTAAGTTTTGATCTCAATTTGGGTGCATGGTGCGTTGCTATGCGGTAGGCAAGGCGAAGATGGGGGAGAAGGACTTGTACTTCTTCTGCCACAAGGACAGGAAGTACCCAACTGGCATGAGGACCAACAGAGCTACCGAAGCTGGCTACTGGAAGGCCACAGGAAAAGATAAGGAGATCTATAGGGACAAAGGAGTCCTCGTTGGCATGAAGAAGACCCTTGTGTTCTACCAAGGAAGAGCTCCCAAGGGACAAAAGACTAATTGGGTGATGCACGAGTTCAGGCTTGAAGGCAAGCATTCTCTCCCCAATCTGCCAAACTCCGCAAAGGTAATAATACCATCACCTTCTTTAGCTCTTCCACGGTTCTCTTCAACGTTAACAATCCAGAATCCTCCTGTTGCAGGATGAATGGGTTGTGTGTAGGGTCTTCCACAAGAACATAGGACTGAAGAAAAGCCCACTTGGAGACGATCTCATGGACCTCGCTACCTTGCCTCCTCCGTTCATGGATCCCCCTCGTATGGAATCCAACTTCACAGGTCTTCCTCCTGGCGTGGAGGATCCAAGCGCTTACTGCACGCTGCTGGGATCGACGGACGTGGGCTACTTGCACCAGGATGAAGCAATGATGAGAGCATTCGCTGCTGCAAACAACGACGTATCCGCCGCCACAAGGAAGCCGTGCAAGGTGGAGCAGTTCACCGACATCTCTTCTTCTGCTGTGTCGAAGCATTACGACGACTTGGACTTCACCTGGACAAGCTTCGGATTCTGAGCACATCCAGTATAGAACGTAGCATCACTCGTAGGATCTCAGTGTGTATATATTGAATTGTTATATGGTGTTAGCTCTGATGTTGAAGATTTATTCTTCTGTTGGATTAGATTGCATCATCATCAATCTTTCTTTGTGTGATTAATACAAGCAACATGAGTCATAACATGATCACCTAACATTATGTAGTCTGTTGCTTGCTTCCTCAGCACTGTGTGAGGAGATATCCATTGATGAGATAGGCTCGAAGACTTGCATATAAGGAAGAAAACTAGGCAAAAAGAGTCTCATAAATTATTTGCCACTTCCAATCACTTCATGCTTTGTTAGTCCATTGGATGGGTCATGAAGTGATGATGGAATCTTGTGTTCATGCAGTACGTTCATGCGTATACGAATACCCACCTGGCATATGTAGAATGTGCTGAAATGTTACGTGTACGTATCTTTTGTCTAAATGCTTTCTAAGTACTGTAAGATGACACCGTATTAAAGCTAATCACTATGGTGCTTAATTATACTGTTCGTGGGCACTACTAATTACATCTTAAACACAACACTATACTTTCTTGTCAGCTAACCATTATCGAATGAGAAGCTTCCTGCTCATACCGAAGTGTACCGCTCGTATCGGACGGTATGTACCGATACACGGATTGTCGGGTACTGCTACAGTGCTACAGTACTACATTGTATCACTACTACTGTGCTACAGTATGCTACAGTGCTATATTGTAGCACTACTAAAAAAATAAACAATTGTTCGATACACCGGTATCATACCGTACCGAACTCAGGTCGAAACGTCGGTATGGTACGGTATAGCGAACTTTGCTTCATGCATTGTTTGATAGATGTATGGCTGATTAATGGGAATTCGAAGTGATCACAGGATTCTTCAACTGATGGAATTGTAAGATGAATCTTTACAATCATGAGCTGCAAAAGATCCCCGTGGAGAGGGACCGAGTCGAAGCGTCGTCAACGTTCGCCGCTTAGGTTCTTGGACCGCTGCAATCTCGTTGCAAAATGACATCTTACAATCCGTTGGTCCCTTTGCATCCTGCCGGCCTCCTCCAGCCTTTTTCTTGGTTCTAATGCAGTCTCGAGCCTTATCTACGGATCTGCTGCTCTTCTTCTCCACTCTTAACGATGATAAGGTTTGGTAATTGCAGGTTTCCAAGCCTACCAACCCTCTTTCTTGCCATCACTTTCCTCCCCCCATGGGTTTGTTTCGGTGTGAAGACTCGTTGAGAACATTGTTTCTAGATCATTGCTGTGTGGTATATTCATTTATTAGCTTTGTATCGACGAGCAGTGGTCGTAGTCAGGTGCAGGCTACAGCTGACACATGGTCCTGAAACCATTGATGTGGCATCCCTCTTCAATCTCTCCTCTCAGTGTTCAAGAGATACATGACAAAGCCTAGCAATGATTCGGCCACTTGTCAGACCTCCAAAGATGGTGCAATGAGCAGCAGTGTCTCATGGGGACCAAACACAGAGAGGTCCTCACGCAAGAAAGGAACTCCAACAGGTATTTGACCTCATGAAGCCAAAGCTTAGCATCTCTTTTTCCTCCTTTTTTGAAGAGAATGGAATGCAGACCCTAAAATAGAGAGTTTGATTCACAAGGATCATGAACAAAGAACCTACACCTACAAGGCATAGAACTGCTTTGGTGTAGTTGCAGCTTTCATTTTGGTCCTCAGAAGATTGATGCACAGGTTTTGCCGAGCTTTCCAATCTGATACCAGCTTTGGCAGCATAGAGTTCAGGTTGTGATGTTCACACAACACCAGAGTCACTCTCACTAGAAAAGCTTGATGGTTGCAGTTGTTCATCATGTGTATGATTGGGACCCCGTTTACCTTCCTTTGTTCTTCACCTTGATTCATGTAAGAAAAGAATGGATTCGCCATTTGCGGTCTTCAGCCTCAGACTTGTCACCATATCTTCATCACATTGGATTCTTGGAGACGTGTTCTCCTCCTCTTCACGCACAAACACACAACCAGAACTGGACAAGCCATGGCTTTGCACCCTTTGAAATCTGCTTCTAACTGGGTTTGCTAGATGTTGATCTTTCCATTACACACACACACGCACAGAGAGAGAGAGGTACAAAACTTGTATGTTCTTACACACTAAGGGAACTGAAACGTTCACTTCTCTCTTGTGAGTCATGTACAAAACTTGTACAAAAGTTTGCACGGCCACCCTAATCTGACAAGGAAAGGTGGTGAAAAGAGTAGGATGGTGTTGCCTAACCATTGGTTTTGTGGCAATGTGGCATTAGATTCCAGCACTAGCTTGGACGGCCATGGTGGAACACTCTCATCATCTCTAGGTTTGAGTAGACTGAGTGATCGCCCAACAGCATGAGCAGATTGATGCGTTAAGGCTGGAAATTATGTAGGTTTGCCACAAAAGGAGATAGCTTCATGACAGGACATTCAGTACTTGGGCGGGCAGTTGTGTGACATATAGTCCTCGTGTAATTGCTTGGTTGATCGATTGTAGCGGGCCCCACGTGACATAGGGGAGGATGCTAAGAACATCTCAGTTTAGTTTTTCATTAACAAAAAGGATGGTGACTTACAATGAGTTGATATCTTAGTATCGTATAATTGACATCTTGATATTAGGTGATCGATACCTGGATGCTTTGTGATTGCCATTTTGATGCTATATGACTAATATCTTAATAGATATTATAACTACATTCATGATGGCACCGGCCTTTAAATTCGGTGTGACACGATCAAATGCGATGCTAAAGAGGATACATAACCGTCCCCAATATTAAGTCATGTTCTCAAGTATAACGATCTTAAAATTTTAAAAGAGCCTTCATGTACATTCTTTAACTTTTTTAGATTTTTATTCATAATATATTCGATACTTAAAATGATTCGATATCCAGTTCCATCTTATGATCAAAGCTGACTTAAACTTTGGATGAGATTCGTCGGGTTTACTCTCTAATATAATTTTTTTGCATGATTAATTAGCAAATCTTAAATTGGAAAATTTGATATTTTCCTATACCAAAGTGAGACATACATGGAACATGACCTATGTTGGCTCCAAATCGATATTCCAATCAATCATGGAACATGACCTATGCTCTAACATGTTGCTTGACCCAAGCCCTTCTATCTCAAGTCACAAATGAGGCCCAAAGTGAAAGGCAAAGGTCCTCTGTTTGCAGGGCAATTGACCTCTTCAGGAAGTAAAGGGGGGGAGGAGAAGGAGCTCGTTTGCCAAACATCAATTTGTTATTATCAGTCTCATTCAGCAAACTTTGGAGAAAGCAAACTGTCATGGAAAGCCAGAATCAACATGTCATTGTTTCTGCATCTCATCAACCTGTTTGTGATTATTCCTAGTCTCCCCAAACTGCTCTCTTGGATTGCTTCTTCTACCGGATGAGCTTCAAACATATCCAAAGAAGACAAAGAATTCTTCCTCCCGACCTTCTACGTTAACTGCAAGCCAAGGAAATCCAGTTATCAGATTCTTTCCTCAACCATGCTCATCGCGGCAGTATTAATATCCATGCATGCCGGAACGGCATGCAAGAAGAAGAAGAAGGAGGAGGAGAGGGAAGATTCGGCGGCAGCAAATCAAGATGGGCGAGATCGTCTTCTTCGATGTGGAGACCACAGCTCCGGCCGGCGAAGGGCGGAGGCTTCAGCTGCTGGAGTTCGGAGCGATGCTGGTGTGCCCAAGAAAGCTGACGGAGGTAGAGAGCTACTGCACGCTGATAAGGCCAGCAGACCTGTCTGCGGTGGCAACCAAGCGATGCAGCGGCATCACCCGCGAGGCTGTCGCCGCCGCTCCCACGTTCGAAGAGGTCGCCGACCGGATATTTGGGATTCTGAATGGTACGTGAGTGCTTTGCTAGCATTAGAGCAACATAAATGTGGAACGATGATCTAAATATCTTCCCTGCAGGTAGGGTTTGGGCAGGGCATAACATCCAAAGATTTGATTGCCATCGGATCAAGGAGGCTTTCGCCGACATCGGTCGACCTCCTCCGGAGCCTAAAGGCCTGATCGATTCCTTGGCCATCTTAACGCATGGGTTTGGCAGGAGAGCAGGTGATCTCAAGGTAATGATCTCAAGTTATTCTTTGTTTGCGACTAGTGTTGCTATATGTTGATCTGTGCAATTTGGCTATCAGATGGCAACCTTGGCTTCTTACTTTGGGCTCGGCCAGCAAAAACACAGGTTAAATCACCTGCTCTACATATCAGCATTACACTTTGGAAACTGCTCTCTCTCTCTCTCTCTCTCTCTCTCTCTCTCTCTCTCTCTCGTTCTCTCTCTCTCTCTGTCACATCCAGAGTATATGTTGGCTGACACACACGGTTATTGTTTGCAGAAGTCTTGATGATGTTCGAATGAACCTCGAGGTCTTCAAGAATTGCGCAACAGTGTTGCTTTTGGTATGTTAGGATTAGCTCGCAATCGAAAGACAGAAGCAAAATCTCTGTTAGTTCTAATTACTCGATACTTGCTGAGCACCTGCAGGAATCCAGCCTCCCGCAAGTGTTTCCTAACAAGAGCCTGGGAAATCTCGGCATGGTGACAAGAAGCAGAGCTAATGGGAGGTCATGCGGCGTCGAAGCCTGCCGGAAATCTCCTCAACCTGCTTCCCCTGTAATCCATAGAGCATCTCCTTACAAGAAGGATAACATAAGAAAGGTAAACCAGTTTGTGATGCGACCCTACCTTCACTTCACCATTTGACGAGGAAGGTGAGATCATCTGATCACAGAAGAATGTTTATGGTGGTTCAGGTGATGGAGAGAGCAAAGGAGGCATTGAGCAGTGCTCGTGGAGCCGCGCCTCTCAACACCCTCCTTAGACACTCGAGGAGTCTGCTGAGATGAGGAACATGGTGGAGGGAGATGATCCTTTATTACCAGCTAAGGAAGAAAAGAGAGCTAATGGCGAAGGACTGAATTGTTCTTACTGTGGCTGCATGCAGACTGCATATTAGTTCTCTTTTGTTTTCCTAATCTTATCTCAAATATGTGTACATTCAAGCGAATCAATCAATTCCATCTTGTATTCCTCTGTCTCGCCATCCAATAGATGTTGCCGTTTCCCATCTATTTCTTGTTCTTGTTTCAGATTATAGTAGTCCTCAATGTCATGGTTATGATCTTAATGGAATCAATAAAAATATTTCCATATAAGAAGTGAGAAGTAAACTCTCTTGGAAAAGGAACTTTTGTGTGATCTTTTTTTTTTCTATTAAGAAAAACTATTATAGCAGAATATCAAAATCGGTTCCTCATCAAAATACTAATTTATTATAAAAAATAAATATTAATCAGAGCAATATAAACAGTAGAACAATAAATCAATCACAAAATGAGATACTGAAATTTTTACGTCAAAAATCCAATACAAAAAAATCACGAGACCATAGTCAATTTTAAACTTATATTATTACTAATAATAATAATATGTTTACATTAAGTCTTCTCCATAATAACTAAAGGATCATAATAATATCAAAAATACGAATTTTTATTCAACATTAATATGTAATCATCATCAATGAATCTTATGAAAAGAAAATTTTAGATATCATAAAATGGGTATAGCAGGAAAGTACTTTAGAAAGAATAAATTACAGATTAATATTATTAAAATTATAGAGCTTACTGTAAGGATTCTTCGTATAAAATTTAAACCAAAATCAATAAAATTTATCTATAATATCTCGATTGACCTATTTCAATAACGAAGTGAAAGGCTTTCAATAATCGATCAAAAGAATCTAGATGGTTGACGATCACTAATGTAAGTAAGCATTAATTATCCTCATTTCATAGCTGAATTGTAGCTCGCCTGTCTCTTCATCTTCTGGTCATATGGCTTGGAGAGATATTATGAGCTTCTTTGAGAGTTTATAGCTGATATAATTGAGTTAAAACTTCTTTGCTAATTGCCTGAACGAAAAAATAGATTCCTGAAATGGATTGGCAAACACACCCTTACTGGGATGGCTTCTACGGATTGATTGCCGCGGCCCACATAATACGCAATTTACCGACAGGATGGCTTTCTCCACCAAATTGGGCGGCGCAGTTGAAGGTGTGTTGGGAGATTTGCTGCGGCTGATGTTCCAATGGTGGATCAGCTTCGTATGAAGGTAAAATGTCGTGAGTTGAGCTTCGCACAGAGAAAGCAGAGCTCAGACAATAATATTACCCAAGCTAGCTAAAACAAGACTCGGAGCTTCAAGCTCCAATGCATCTCAAGCTCATCCATCATCGCAGCAGCAACAGCAGTCTCCCGACGCACCTTCAACTCCACCATCTAGATCGGCGGACAAAGCCATCACGTTAGTAGCCACCCTATCAATTGCCTCGAAAAACTGGGACCTGCTGCTGCCCCGACCGAGACCCAGAAGCTGGGCTTCGACCTCTACACCACCACTCATTACATTTCCTTCAGCTGAGCATTACGTCGGCCCCGTCAACCCATCCGTCGAAGCTCCCAAGTTCCTCCTGTTCTCGGAGCTTCGTTTGACCTACCAAGTCGTTTTCTCACATGTCAATTCCCATGCCTTCGGTGGTTCCCATTTCGCTGTGATGAAGAAAATGCACTGGACTTTTCTGTACGAGTCATACACCCACATCTGCTGCTGCACCGATGCCTCCGCTTGAGGTACAGGAATTTCGAGGATAATGTTGGTGCGGGTCTGTCGCCATCAGGCGATTAGACAACTCCCAGGAGAAGATGGAGAAATGAAACCAGAGTTGCTACCAAAGCAAATCCCAAGGATGGATGCTGATGAGGATTTCGATTTCTTTTATGGTCTATTTGTGTGGCCTTCATCTCGCGAAGGACAAAACATGCAAGACCAGAACAAAAGGGGTTATCTTCTCCTTCTTACATTTTGTAACAGCAACAACACTTGGGAAGCATCACTTTCTCGAGCAACCACCAACTCTGGTTTCATTCCTCCAAAAATCTTCTGTCCTTGTTCTTATTCTCTCCCTCTTCTTCTGATTGCAGCTTTACGTAGCAGTGGTCTGATCTCCATAGATTCTTTCTCATCATTCTATTTATTATTAGATATCTTAATCAGAATATAATTTTAATTCTATTTTCTCAATATACTATACTGCATTCTGTGTTTCTCTCCTCCTTTTAATGCCCTTGCAGTGCAATCCGGTTTCACAGTCAGCTCTTCGCAGCCTGAGGGCGAAATGGCCCAAGTTTTGACTCCAACCCAATATATATATGTCATCTAACTCTTCCTAACACAGACGGTATGTTCTTCTTGCACGAGCCTCAAATTGTAGGACAAAGAATGGGGATGACACAATACATTTTCTATTATGTCTTAATGAACCTGTTTCTTAGTTCCTCGTGTGAGAATTTATTGTCTTCGGATGCATTCTCTTTCCAATGATCGATATACCTAAGATTAGTCTTGGAATCAGCTACAAATGTTGAGGCATGCTATGAATCATTGCCTTGCTTGTTTTCTAACAAGTTATCGTATCTAAGATTATCTATCTGCTTTGATCTACCAATCATATGTGGTGAAACTGCTCATCATCCTAACATGGGAGTATAATATTCTTTGTTTCTCGTCTGAACCAATGTGTTTGTAGAATTTAATTTCCATTCAATAATTTTTTTATCAGAATAATTGGGTTCTAATATGGATAAATGATTTTATTACCACCTAAATCTATTCCTGATGAAAAGAACAGTATAACCAACACCTGTTCCCAGGAAGATCTTTGGTGGATGACATCCAAATGGTTCCTAAATTTTGATGTTTTCTTTCCCTGCAACTCTCTTCTGGTTGCCACTTCATTCAGATGACAATCTGGTCCTGGATTGCCTTTTCCCCGGTTTCTCTGTTCTCCTAATGGGTTTTGTAAAGCAAGTGATGGTGGTCCTGCTACCTTAAGATTGCAGGCAGTAAAATAGCTTTCATGATGTAAGATAGGATTGTGTCTGTGAGGGTGACAGGCCCAAACGATTGAGCATTATGAGATTCTATTTCTTCCGAATGAATGATTCTCCATGCAAGTATCTTTTCCAAAGTAGTATTTTTCTAGGGTTTGGTGGGGTGTGTTTGATGTTAAAGTGGCTTTATAGGAACAAACATGGAACGATTACTAGTAAAGATATCAAATGATGAACGAAGTACCTGAAACTTAAAGATATGGAGAGACACCGATGCGAATGAGAGAGATCATAAGGGAAGAAGGCCAAACTAGTGGAATCATTTACCTAAACAGCAGATCCACACACCACAAGCTGCAGCTTTAAAGTACCATAGGGTGGCCTTTTTGGTGGAGATTTGTATTGGTTCTATCAGTGCTGGAGCTGCGAGCTCTCTTTTCGAAAGTTATTTTAAGCTCGACCATAGGACAAGAGGACAACCCCACATGAGTGTGGGCAGCATGTGTGATGCCCGCATGATCTGCTGACTGATTTAATCGTCGAAGAAAACATCTGAAAGAGGGAAGAGTTTGCAGTGAAGCAGGTAACTCAATAATCTTGAGTAGATAGATAAAAAGGTGAGGAGGAGAGTCGCAAACTGTTCTTTCTCCCACCTGTCCTGATGTTTATGGTGTTAGCATTCGGAAATGGTGTGTGTAGGGAGACCCACCATCGTGCGGAGTTGCTGCCGCTCACAATATCAAGGTTTCAGTGATGAATTATTTGAAGTGATGAAGCGTCTTCACGGTTCATCATTGCTCCGGTTACTGCAGGTCGAAAGAGAAGGCGTTCATGGAGGACAAGGACTGACATCCTCACGTGGCGCTGAAACTGCGGTGAGGGTTTTGTTGGGGTTTGAAAGATGGCATCTCCCTCCTCTCGATTAATTACTGCATGATGTGAAGCCCCCCCCCCCCCAACCAGGAGAACACTCGAAGCACTGACCTCTCCTCCTCTTCCTGCAGTTGCCGAAGGGCAGGAGGAGAAGGACAGCGAAGAGTCTTGAGCAGATCACTGTAGGTATGCAAATGGGTGCTGCCATCGATGATGAGCTCTACAAAGGCAGTAGGCAATGCGAGGAGTGCATGCTTAACCATATATGTGACAATAATATTTTACGTTCATGTGGAGAACATGCGATTAGAGCAGCATCATCATGGACCACACAAAGTGTCTGAATGGTAGCACCAACCTAGTCAAAATGTTCATACGAGGACCACATCAAACATATTTAATCATCATAAAATGCTAGATGAAGGAAATAAAAGCTTATAATTGGCTATTAATGTTATGACTGTTGGTAAATGGCAGAATCTCTCCTATTATATTTCTTTAGTGTTTGCTCACTGCAGATAGCAGAAATGCATGAACACACACAGAGAGAGAGAGAGAGAGAGAGAGAGAGAGGCCACCATGCATGTGTGAGGGACCGGCAAGTCAGCGGGAGTCGCGGCGAGGCGTCGTTTTCTTTAGGGCAGACTGCTCAACAACCCATGCAGCTTGTTTCTTGTTCTCTTCTTTTATTCCTGCTTGAATCTTATCAAATCATGTACCCATTGCTTGCTGTCATGTTTAGGTATGTATCCTGGATCATGAGAGTGGTAATCTGGAAGAAGAGCATGCATGAATGATTGAAGTCGATAATAATATGTATGGATCTCTTTCTTTCTTCAGAAAAATCTCTCTTTGTACAAGTGAGGAACATGTCAACAGTGGTCTCAGTGGTTTGATCCACATTGTCATGCATTTTATGTAATGATTACTAGCTTGTCGATTGTGGTCAGATGCCAGTGTGCATTGACTATGGATTCTTTGTGGAGACAGATCTATGAGGCACAGGTAGATCAATAGAGGTTCATAGAATATAAATAGAGTTCATTGCTGCTTAATAAGCTATGATATCTCAATTGTTTAAGTGGAAGAGGGAAGTTATGATGCAAAGCATGGAGACAAAGGACTCAATTGTAGTGAGCCAAGCTCAAGATTCTCTGTAAGACTGGAGTACACATTGCAGTCACTGATTGAATGCAAAACCAAAGAAACATGAAAACATTCATGGTCACCAACACAACACAGACACATGTGTTCCTTTAGTTTGTGTCTACAAAGGTGATCATGTCACATCAATTTGGAG